TACCAGGTGTCAACGGATGACCGATTTTAGACGCTCAAGCAAAATAAATGAAAAATAGACGCATGAACCGTCTTGTAAGACGCATGGCATTTTTTAGAGTGTTAAGGTTTCATACAGCGCCATTTATAGTCCCCAAAATCATACTTTGGGCTGTGGAAAATCCGAGCATACCGTTCGATAGAGCTCGTCGAGTTGTACTTGGAACAAGAATAGGAGTTTTGAAAAAATTTCCCGGGCGAATTCGGGCTGAAAATACTCGAATCTGGTGATAACTTTACCTACGTCGCTTTGTTATGTATATTTTTGGCATGTAAAATATAATCAATCGGCTCCGTTACTTTCTGTCAATTATTACTTAAACAAGCTATAGTGCCACAAAGAATTTGCGTTATTTTATGAGACCACATGTGACAATCAAAAGAAGAAAGAAATGAAAACCAAATAATGTGTACTTGATAAAAGTAGGTTGCAAAATAGCCTTTCTTTCTCACAAGCTACTCTAATAGAATGTATAACGAAGTATGATTTTGAAAATTTTATTAGCAAAAATTTCGAGCGCAAAGAGTTGTGTTAAATAATTTCGTCGTAACTTTCTTGTTATGATACAAATGTCATTTTGGTATGAGATTATCGTCAATGGCAAGTTTTAAAGCATAGTGAGCAAGTAAACGAGTTGTATCGACAACAGGTTTTCCAAGATTATTTTCGTTATATACAACAGGTAACTCCGTACATCCAAGAATCACCGCATTGCAATCATATTTTTGTATATCTTGTTGAATATCTTCTACGGTAGTTGAATTTATCTGTGATGGGATAATTTCATTTCTTATTAAATGTTCAATTTTATCACAAACATCATCTGTTGGAATCATTGGAGTAATGTTCTTAGATTTTAGAACTTCATTGTATAATCCACCTTGCATTGTAAGTTTAGTTCCAAGTACTAAAACTTTGGAGAAACCTCTTCTGTGACATTCATCAGCCACAAGTTTGATTAAATTAACAACTGTCAATGGTGAATTCTTTTCAATAAGGTCAATAGAGAAATGAGGAGTATTTGACGGAATAATGACAAAATTAGCACCGACTTTTTCCAGTAATCTAATCGATTCGCATATTTTGTTGGCCAAAGTAACCCAGTCTTTTTTAAAGATGCAGTCTTTGTATTGATCATAAGAGAAAGCATGCATTGTAAATTCTGGATGTTTTCCTGATGAGTTAATCTTCGCTGCTTGTGCAACAATTTCATTTGCACATAAACATGCGCCGACTGTGGTAATGTCGACGATTCCTATGTGTTTCATACGTCGTAAATTGGAAATAATTGCTGATTGACGAGTAATTGATTTAACAGACACAGCTCATGTCTTAAAATGACAAAATTAGAAAAGTTATGCCTAATATAGCAATATGGTTGTCGATCAAAAAAAAGCTCTCAAATATTTCCTACTTTCAGGAAATGTAAATCGTATGAGTATTTAATTTGAGGATAAAAAGACTTTCTATAGGCATTGCAAAGATTAATGTCACCAGAGTGATAAGCAGTCGAAAATATGGCATCAGAAATCAGAAGATTGAAACAAATTTCAGACTTTTACATTTCTCAATTATCTTGTTTTGAGATCGCTAGTTTTGTTTCTAATTTCTCGCACAAAATCATATAGAATCACACTCAAAATCGCTAAAAAAGTCAAGAGCGGGACAAAGCATTCAAGGTAGGAATCTGACTAGAAATAAAATGTTTATGATGAATGGAATATCAAAAATAAATAAATACACATGATGGCTACTTCTTCAGATCAACGACACCCTCATTCAAGTAGCCGTGTTAATAAGGACAAAATAAAATTACTTTATTGGCTCATCTCAGTCAGTCAATAAAAAAAAATAAGCGATAAAAGAACGAAAGAGGACGCAGATTGCTGTGCTATAGTTAGATAAAAAAGTGGTTATCATAAAACGGACAATGCAATTATATGCGTATATGCTTAAGTTCAATGTAATTAATGATGTTGTTTTTCATCTCACTTTACTATAATCTTTTTATTATTTGTAATGACTTACTCTCCATCACCTCCTCTTGACGATTTAACTGTTCGTATATGGAACGATTGTTCTTGAGTGTGTGGATACGGCAAGAGAGAAGCAGAGATTTATGATTTTGTGAGTTAAAGCGAATTTGTATGATTTGAAGTATGTTAATGATCCTTATTTGTAAATGAACTTTTAGAGTTATTTGCGATTGTTATTTTTTACACAAGAAAAATTTGAAACCTAGAATCCTTTTGTTAATGTTATTCAGACTATTGATAATGTCATTGCCAGAACAACGAATCAATACACCATCAATACACAAGAAAAACATAAGGATAAATGTCATAACTATGTGGTTTTGCGTACGATGAATACTTGGATGTCGATGAGAAGAGGTTTCTATTCTACCAACACCCCACGCTGAACAGCTCACAGCCTACATCCACATTCACTTACGACATCGGTTAATATTGATTGATAATCTTGATTTTAATCCATTATAATTTTGATTTTGGCGCAGAATAATCGGGTTATTGATTTTGATTATGACCATGGAATTTTGAAATTTTAATCGATTTTAATCGCTAAAATTTTCCACCGCGGGTAATACTCTTTAACAATAAATGGAACATACCGGTCATAGATATCATTTGATACCTTTTGTCGACGAACAAGTTCTCTTTCCAATTTCCACATGAAAATATTAGCCAGAGTTAGAGTAAATGCTGATTCTATAGCATCACCGGTAATCTGTTTGTAGAATTTCTTTCTATATATGAAGACATGTTCTGTGATCACCATACCAGCTAATTTTCGAATAGCATCAACAGAAATATTATTCACTTTATGATAATCAAGTTGAAGAAGAAATTCTATAAGAATATCAAATGATTCACGTTTTGATAATATTGTATATAAATCAGTTATATCAGATGTATATAGATAAGTTTTTAGGCTTCAGATGGCTATTTTCTGCATGTTTTCAAACGACGAATTAGATCAACACCATCAATAATTGTTGTAGAATGCATGTATTTATCCAATAATGGTCGAATTTATTTATCTAAAAACTTTGAAATAACAGTTGTTGACGTATTCATTGATGAGACGACTAGTCTTAATGATGTGTCTTCGTAGTAAAATAGATTGGATTCATTTAAGAATCATAGACATACATCGAATTATTTTATGCGCTTTCGAAATGAAATATAAATAAGGTAGCTCAGTTGTTTCATGTTTTTCAGGAGCATTTTATAAAGTTACCAGGATAGAATATGTTCTTTCAAACAAAGATTATTGAGTAAATGAACAATATTATCAAATGCGGTTTACAATGAATCAGATTCTAATTTTATCAAAGCTTCAGTCTTTTGTGGATCAGCTTCTGCTCTCTTTTCATAGTTTCGTACATGACCAATGTGAAACGTATTACTTTTGTCTGTAACATGAAAAAAATATTTTTTTTTTCTTTAATCTAACTTGAACTGATTTCATTAGTTTAAGTTCTTTTCGAGAACTAAATATGTTGAGATAAGATAATGGAGCCATGTGTTGTTGATAAAGGCATGTTTCCAATTGTTGAGAACATTGTTTTATAGTCATTGATGTATTCAGTAGATGATGAACCCAAGAAAGATAAGGTATAATGGCATCCATTATTTTCTTGTGTTCTTGTTGTACTTATTTCTGTCGAGGATCACAAGAATAAAGATAACTTTGATATGGTCTGATAGAATTACGTCATTGATGAAGAGACGTTATCATGATGTTAACATGGGAGAATGAATTAAATGGCTAAGATAACTATTAACGAATATCTTTTGCTTACCATGATTTGAAAGATAATCTAACTGAAAACAATTCAGTGAGACTTTTAGAACATCGACGATTATTTGCTGCTTTGATAATTAATAACGACTATTCTAAGGTAATGCTATACACATGAAGACAAGCATCTTTATGACGAATTTTATGTATTAATCTGTTTGTATTATGATTAAAATATGTTTTCAATAAGATTATTAATATGTCTGCTTGATTCTTTTGATGATCAAAGTTTCTCTGTAGTAGTTTAGATTAAAGTGTGTTGATTTCTTGTTCTTATAAATTGTCATAGTGTTGAATTTTGATTCCATATTATTCCCATTCGTCACTAAGTTTTCCACGCTTTAATTCTTATATGATTTTGTTAGGTTTATTTCCAAATGGTTTTCATCTGCATCAGATACTATATAATCGAACGATTTTGACAATTCGTGATTTGAAATTCGTTGTTCGAGCATGTTGAGCATAGTAGTCAGTCGACGTGTTGCTTCATGGTAGAAAACACAAACAAAATTATTTCTAATTTTAAACATTATTCGTACATGTTTTTCAGTTAAATGGTATGAAGAAAATCGCTTAAAGAATTCTTTCTCATAAATAATATATTTTCATTTGTTTATTGGATAATTGATTGTTCTTAGTAGATCAATATGATGTAAGCGAACAAATTCTTTTAATCTCTCATCCGTTATCTCTAGGCGAGGTTATGTGGATGAGCAGAATGATGAGTGTGTAATTAATTCAGTTGTATATTGTTCAGTTTTTGTTCTTGTAGAATAATATCACATGTTCTTCTGGATATTTTTCAATTACACTATGTTCATTTGATTTTATGATCTGGAGAATTTTATCCTTCAAATCAGCCCAATAGTATGCTTTACAGTCAGAAAGATATGGGTGTGAGTATGGGTTAATTGAGTATGCATACTCATACCCATGTTCTCTTTATACAAGAAAGACAATATAACCAACGTTGGAAACGAAACAAACATTTTTTCAAAAAGAAGCATATTGGTATGTCATGTTGTCTAGCAGGTTTTCCAAATCTGATCAAGCTGAATAAGAACTGGACAAAATTTAAGATATTTGTATTCATTGCTGAAGCGTTTTTATTTGACAAACTATTTACAAACAAATGTCAAGCATATTCGAGCCATCTCTATGACTCAGTGAGGTACTCACCATCGATTGCGACAGCTCTGACCTGATGTATCACCTTGTAAGACAGTGTTTTCATTCTTGTTGTTACAATTCTAATGAAACATAGTGTTGCGTTCCTTCAACAACACAAGACATTCTAAGTTTGGTGCCGACTCGCAGCTACAGAACATCGATGTTGACAGTTAAGTAGAAGCAGAAAGAAAATAGTTGAATGCTTCCATGCTACAACTTTTGTGCTGTCGAGAAAGTCTGAAAAACATTTTCTTGTGTAACATCATAAAATTACTCGGAAAAAGAACAGCATCATATTTTCTTGTGATCGAACCAATAAAATACGAGGACGGAACGGAAAACACGGTAAAAACGGCAGCTTACGTATTTACAACTCTCTTTCTGGAAAAGACAGAGGCAAACTAACCAGTTGCATTTCTTGGTGTCTTTCGTAGCGACAATAAGATCTTCGGTGAGTGTTGATTAAAGCTCATTGTATTAAATCATTTTTTTGCAGGTGCCACGATAGACTTGATGCTGTCCTCCTGAATAAACTAAACGGCAGTACTATCCTTTTTCTCTGTAACAATGAGCAAATTTCCAAGATGAAACATTTCAGAAATGTGGACATACACTGTAAAATAATTATTCGGACACGTTTTATTTTCTTTTTATGGCACCTTTATTCCGCATCAAAATATTTTAAGTTATATATTATTCGATAGAAAAAAAATAAAATGAATTCCATCATGTCTTTCGTTCCTAAAATTCATGAGAAACAATACATATCAATTGTTACATAAAATTAGTATTTCACATAGATCTCGGATAATGCTGCATTTTAGGGAGGGAAATCAAACTGAAATTTTTTTTGGATAAAATGTGTTTTTGGAAAATTGAATTCTCTACAAAATGATGTGCTTCAGTGCACGATAATTATTTTTCCTATGTATGATAAGAGCCCATGTTTTTAAGTATAATTTACAGCGAAGAAAGAGAAGGAAAAAAATCTCTTTCAGTCTGCCTTCTTATATACGCCGAGCCAGTGAATGAAGAAAAGAAAGATTATCTATATTCATAGACCATGTATATAAAGATGCAGAGCAAAAACATTTTCTTTTTCTTCTCCTTCTTCGCTGTAAATCATACTTAAAAACATAGGTTTTTATCATACTTTCAAAAAATAATTATCGTTCACGAAAGTACATCGTTTTGTAGAGAATTAAATTCTCCAGAAGCACGTTTTATTCAAAGAAATTTTCAGTTTTATTTCTCTCCCTAAAATGTAAGATTA